GTTTAGATTTACACTGAAGTTTACATTTATTATGTAAACTTTGGTTAAACGCAACTGGATATTGAATAATAAATTGAAATACTAAAACTGTGTATTATTTAACATAATAAATTATAAAACGTGAAAACGTTAATAATATTAAAAATGATGAATTGTAATAACCGTACATTCGAAAACAATCATCCCTATTCATTACATTCAATTCGATGACACGATTTTTCTTTGATAAAAGACCGACAAATTCTTGCTCTACTTTGCGTGGAATACGATCCTACTACAATTCGTATTAGTCTAGGAGCCAGATCAGGTTCCGTGTACTAACTATAAAGTAAACTTTTTACAGCCATATAAACATTTAATTTGTTGATAACAATTAAACTGACCACTTTCAGGCTTTGGATTTAGGAGGTCAAAATACTTTAGAATAAGTTGGCAGCCGTGGCACTCTGATTGGCAACGGAACTCTGTCTGGCTCCTAGACTAAAGTGCACGTGCAAATTAGAAGGTTAGTGACCTCGACACAGGTTAGCCTAGGTCGGAAACACGTACCGAGTTGTTTATTTGTCTCCGTCCGATTGTATTTTTATCTTCTATAACTTACAGTCAATATTTAAATACTACATACATTTGAGCCTCTCTTTATAATTTATCTAGTGAGTGTTGGTTGTTTATGTCATTATTTCTGTAATGAAATTGAAATAGTTATGAAATGAAATTTAAATTATTTGAACTCTTGGAGTTTTGTAACTTCAATATTAAATTTTATTTAAAGCGAAACAGAGCTAATTTCTTTGCAGCCATAATAGTCACATTTGGTCAGATGAAAACCCGCACACTACTCGTCGGTTTAGATTTCAGAGGAGATTCGGTGTCAATGCGTGGGCAGGAGTATATGGCGATCGTTTAATTGGGCCGAATTTTCTACCTGAACACCTGAATGGGCCGCGTTACTTTCAATTTTTAGTAGAAGGCTTACATCATATTAAAAACTATCACCATGATGTTAATAAAAACTGGTTTTTGGCGAGGCATGCTCAGACCTCCTCGAGGTTCTTACTGGGCAACAATAACAATTTAATATGTTGATATATAATTATAAAAAATAATTTATAACATTTTAAATTATTATTGGCTGACGTGAACAAACCGTTTGTTTATTGTCTTTATATGAGCGAAAATATATAAATATGGTAACATTGCATCTAGGGTACATATCGTAGCCGGCTGACGTCAGCCGGTCAGTAACAGCCTGAAAAGGAAATAATGATTTGAAAATATTTTTTTTTCGGCTTAAATATGCATTTAAATTTTTTTTAATCACGCCATCGTATTATACTAATTTTTCTCTATCTGCTCTTAAATTAATGACATTATGACTGAATCACCCTGAATATTATGTAAGTACAATTAATGTCATACATTTCCAAAAACTTGTACTTGAAATGTATTTAACTTGACTAGGATCGAAAATAGTACACATTGAAATAAAAAAACAAACAGTGGCAGTGCGCCAAAAATAAAGAATTATTTGACAGACTTGTTTAAAATGTTGCATATATTCCAGTTTTTTAAGCAATTCCTATTCTGATCTGTTCTGTACAAAATTACCACGTCCGTATATGTGAAAACTGAAGCTTAATTAAAATGTCACTAATATAACAAAGGCGCAAATGTTACAAATGTAATAAAGATATTTTATTATCCTGTCCTTCCATGTCAAGTGTTTCCTAAGATTCTTTGAATCATATTTACATAGTGGAATGTTTTACTGGAACAAATTCTGTAAATTAATAAATAAAGGTTTGTCGCAAAATTCCTGAAACACGTCATTTTTTATTTTCAATTTCATATTACAATGAGGTTTGTTTATTTTTTAATTATGTGGGGGGTTGCAGCAACCCCCAGCTTTTTTTTAAATGGAAGGGTAAGTTGATTTATTTTTTATTTTAAAGCTTTTTCAATTGCAACTACAATTATGTATTTTTTTGTTACGTTTTATAAGACCTGTGTCCGGAAAAAATAAAATAAGGCAATATTTACTTAAACTACTTTAATGAAAAAAAAATGTTCAAATTGCTCTCCACCTTTTGCTTATAACACCTTAATCGATAATAAAAAGCGTTCCGAACATTTTGTAACACTTTCGGCGTTACTTGCCTAATGTTATCCCAGATTCTTTGTCATTTATCAGTAGCATAAAACTTGCTTTTTAGTTATCCTCATGAAAAAATCTAATGGAGTAAGATCGGGTGATCTTGCTGGCCACTCAATTGGGCCCCTTCTCCAATCTATCTATTCGGAAACACTCCGTACATTTTGAGCAAAATATGGTGGTGCTCCGTCTTGTTGAAACCATATTCGTTGATCAAATAAATCGGGATCCAAATTATTGGGGAATAAATCCGTTAAAGCAGGAACCAGTTCATCTTGGAGCATAGTTAAGTATGTTTTTCCGGTTACATTTTCATTGAAAAATACACGACCTATTATGCGATCCCCAATAATTTCAGCCCAGACGTTTGTTCTTTAAGGCCTTTGAGTATGGTATTCACGCATGCAATGGGGATTTTCGTCAGCTCAATAACGGCAGTTGTGCCCATATAATGTGAACGTTGTTTCAGAAAACAGCACCCATTCCAAAGAATTTGCCCAACATCGATAGACGCCATAATTCGTTCGCAAAAATCTACGATTGGGATTATCCTCATTAAGTTCGTGCAGGTTTTGCATCTTATATGGGTTCTTTTCTTTCAGAATTTTTAAAACGCTTGTATGACTAACACCCTGAACGCGCTGAAGTCGCTTCTGCATGCAAAAGAACTCTCCGTACTCGAATCGATACCTCTCACTCTCAAAACAAAAATAACTATTATACAACTATATGAAAAAGTATTTTATATTCGCGACAGTTTTCTTACAACTTGGAGGACAAAAATAACAGCAATTTCTTAAAAGACATTTTTTCCCATGCATACTAAAATGCAGACTCATACGTGTTAGTGTATTAACTCGTATGCACCCTTTCCGTCCGCATAAATCGTGCTCGATATCCTCCCGCATTGCCGGCTGAATAAATTATGTAATTTGCAGGCAAATTGTAGCAAATCGAATCTAATTCATAACTATCTGCAGCACTGGCGGCCGAGGGTTGTGCGGTCGCATCGAAGCCTTCCCGACGGAAGCAGTGCCCCGTTGCGAGCCTCTACGGTCGTGATGTATCAGCCGCATACATCTCTGTAATGGAGCTCTTATATGGCCACTAGCGCTGACTCGGCTACCTCATTATTCCGCACTGTGTCGATTGCCATATCTCTTTTTACGACCGTGGAGCTCCTCGGAACTCATTTTTCTCTTAAGCGACACGAATTTTTAGAGTAAATACGCACGTTTTCTTTTCGAGGTGGATATGGGATATGGAAGTTTTGTCTTGTTTCATTGGTACAGTGCCGGCCCTTTGAAAATGGACGACTCTTATAAGCAAATTGTCTATAATTGGCCTTTGTGAAGCTGACTTGAAACTGTGAGGCTCAAATCGGCTGTTATTATGTCAAATTTAATGTGTGTCTATCATACTAGTTCTAGCGAGCAAAACAAATCCAAATTAGGTAGCAAATTATTTATTTTACCAATACTGAAATATATTATACATTCTAACGGTCATTCATGAAATACTTTTCGTCGTCAAAAAAAAACGCGATTCGTAAAGTTAGTATTTTGTCCAAGCACCATTTTTGTCTATAATACTGCAATCTACATGGCATTGATAAAATTAATATTCTTGTTATAATCCTCAGTGATGTTATCCCATGCGTTTTCAATTGCCTCCCAAAGTTCTTCGAAGTTAACTGGACGGAAGTTTGTCGTAAATTTTTTTCACCATATATCCCCAGGACTTTGAGGGCCAAGGTAAAACATCGACGTTGTTGTCAATGAACCATTCTGACGCAACTCTTGAGGTGTGAATTGCACAATTATCCTGCTTGAAAGTGAAATTCTGAAGATACAGCATGGTCACAACAAATATCAGGACTTTGGCAGCTTATCCAAGCCCAAATGTTAATGGAGAATCTATCGCTGCGCTGTGTGGGTTTCACATAAGGCTCCGAATACCTTATAATCTCTGGTGGGTAGACAGTAGACACGGACAGAAGCATCGGAGCAAGACTGAAAACTTTTTTCGTCCGAAAATATAATATTCTCCCAGAAGTTGTCTGGGCTTCCTACAAATTGTCTTGCAAACTCTAACCTCTGTTCTTTATACTGGGGAGTCAAAGCAATTGTATTTGCGGCCACATAATTCTTCAACTCCGAATCTTTCACCCGCTTCCTTGCAGTTCGCACTGATCCAGGAAAATTCGTCTCAAAGGAAGCCGCTACTGCCATGTCAAAAGGATTTATTCTTAGGTGGTGCTTACTTTTCGACGTCCACCTCCGTGAACATAACGTAC